TTATTACATACAGGGAGAAACGAAGACCTCAGAGAACGGTTCTACCTGTTGCAGCTGCTGCAGATCAAACTTGCAAATGTGAAAAAAGCATCAGTAGGTCGGTAACATCTACTCCAGTCTGTAGTGAGCAAGAATCAATAGTTCAGAAAGGATGAATTTTCACATGTGCTGTACTGGAGCATTAACTCCTCTATCTACCCTTTAGGGGCTCAGCAGCTATATCAGATCTTACCTGGGGAGATGCCACAGGGTCAGGACAGGGTGGAAAATAACTGACAATTGACCTGGGTTAGCATCTTAGAGAAAGAATACCAGCAGGAAAGAAAAACAAATTAGAGTGGTTGGTTCTTTCTTCCTCTGCTCCTTGAGTGCTTGTCGTTTGAACCCTTGGAGGGAAACTGATGAGCAACTACGCTTTGTGCTGGTTTCTCTTTGAGGCCATTTGTTGCCTGTTTTCTTTTTAAGTCTGAAATGTTAGAAAGAGATCATTATTTTTCCTATTTAGCTTGACCTCTTCCTTCCTGGGAAAGTTCTTCCCCTTGTACTGGCTCTGTTCTTTTCACACAGTGCTGTGTTGAAGTAAAGTTCAACAGAAAACTTGAATTCCTAGAAAAAATATTGGGACTTAGAATGAGACATTCCCTCGAACAGACACTCTGAAACTCTGCAAACATATCCTGACTCTCTCTGGAGGTGCTGTGAGGTATCAGATGTCAACCATGCAGAATGAAAATATGTGCATTGCTGAAATAACAATGTTAGGGCAAACACTTCCATGAGATGGGAACTACTCTGTGGGTCATCTCTTCTACCTTTGTGCAGCAAGCCCTCTACTCAGCTGCAGTTTCTCCTAAGGAGAGAGGTTATCTGTGGTTACAATCTTGATTGCCCAGCAAATTGCTGAATGCCTGAGGAAGCAGGAGGAGAATGTGCAGCTTCAGGCTGTGTGAGTTTTTCAATCTGGTTTACAGTGAGCACTGGAGGTTGAGTGTATAAGATGCCTCTGGATCCTGACACCATTTGTTGTGGGCATTGGACAGATGCATCCTGTGCTGGGAGGCCACCCCTGGCATTCTGGAACAGCTGTGGGAGTTAAATAAACTTCTATTTGCTTCAGGTGCTTTGGATCATGAGACTGGCAAAGGCTGGCCATCCAGGCAGAGGCAGATGCAGACACTGTGAAGTGAGCATGACTGGGTCTCTGTTGAGGCAGTGAAGATACATACTTTAGTTACAGACTATTTCCTTCCCTCTCCCCACTAAATGTTACCTTTCAGCTCAAGGGCCTATATATATGGTCAGTACACATGACCAGAACTTTGGTGTCAGAGTCCTTTGTCCTTTATACAGCAGCAAATCTGCTCAGCTCCATGTGATGGAGCAGCACAGGGATTTTTTCTTTTGTTTCTACTGTTTACAAAATGTGGGGAAAAAAAAGTTAAAGGAAAAATGGTTATAAAACTAGAGCAGAGTTATATAAACACGTGAACTGAAAACCTACAGGAAGATCTGTCTGAGATCTGACCTGGTCATTTGTCTAAAGAGGATGTTTACTCACACCACCCGATGTGGTGACTGTGCTGTCCAGTTCTCCATAGAGCAAAGTAAATGGAAGATTTACTTTTGGCTGTGATTTCTTAGTGTGGTGCAAAAAATAGGTGGCCTTTGAACTACCCCATTATTACTTTTCTCTAATAAAGAATTGGTGATTCAAACTGTATATAGGACACCCACGCAGAGTTCCCAGCTGGAAGAGTGCACAAGACCAAAGGGTCGGTTCGTCTGTGCAAACTGTTGTGAGTAGGGAACTCCCTTGGGTGATGGGCAGAGGTAAAAACCTAATGCATGAAAGAGAACTTGGAAGAATAGTGGTCTCACTGTGCTTTTGGATCTTGGCCTCCAATATAAACTCTCTAGACTGCTTGCCTTTCTATTTTCTGGTGACTGTTTGAACGGCCCCTTTAGGTGACGTTTGCTTCTCAGTCTTAAAGATACTGATCTAAGGGAAAATCTTGCACAAAAGGATTGGGGAAAAGTTAGAAAAGTTAAAGTGTGTAATAAATTAGGGCTGAGAGAATATAAAAAAATAGTTTAGCACATCACTTGACAGATGGGAAGTCATTTATGTAAATTTAGGGAAGTAGTGGTTGGATTCAATTGGTCTAATTTAAACACTATTTCTAATTATTTTTGGTATGTATACAGAGGATTATATGATGGCCATTATTCTGACAGGAAGGCTCTTCATATTTAAATTTAAATCCATAAATTATTACCCTATTAAAGTGTAAACATGCTGTGATAACAAGCACCTGATTATGCAGACAGGTTAGTCCAGCTACTCTGGTGAACAGCTGTGTGCATGTATTTCAGATAATGCTTTTTTTTACAGCCTAAAAACCACAAGCAAGCCATTGAGAGGTCAAGAGATGTCTGACCCACAGGTGGGAGCTGCCTGTAAGGAGGTTTGCTGGCACTGAGTGCAGATCTGAGAGCAGATGGGCTCTCACAGGTTTCCACTGAAAGCAGGCCCTGGCGGCACCCAAAAGTACAGAGGGAAGATGACACAATTAACAATTCCCCCTCCATGCAGTCTGGTGCTGCTAATCCCAAGTTAAAACTCCTAACAGCATCTTTGGAGAACCTTCCTCTTCACATCTTGACAATTTTCTCCTTTTTGCTAAGAGAAAGATCATGCCGGTTTACTGGGAAGCTGCCAAATGACAGCTTGACTTCACACCTGAGAAGCAAATGAATGAGGAGAGAAGGAAAGCCTCAGCCTGGCTCCAGCCTGGCACAAACACAAAGAGTCCTGAGAGTGTGGGCATGAGCAACTTCTGGAGATGCAGCAGCAGCAGGTGTGACATGAGCAGAGTCCAAGCTGAAGCTACTGTAGAGGAGGGAGCATGGGGCCCATTACCAAACTGCGAAAGAGTTATCATCAGCTGCAGACCCTAGGGTGAGGTGGAGACCTGGCCATGGATGATTCTTGGAGGTGTGGGACAAGGCTTGGAGCTCCACACTGTACAGCAGTCCTTCTTGAGTTGATTTGGCTGGCTTTCCTTCCCGGAGCCATTGCAACAAAGACTCAGATCAGCTCTCTCAAAAGGTGCACTAACAATCAACAGGGCTGCTGACAACCATGATTTATTCTTTAACTACCCCAAAACTGTATTTTTGGATGTGTAACTCATGGTTTATAAACTCTGGGGGTAAAGGGCACCAAGAACGAGGTTTCATGACACTCACTTCTTCAAACCTTGTGGTTTTAGGGCAGAGAGTGCCAGACTCTGTTGAGGGGAGCTGCAGGTGGCCTGACTCCATACTGGCACAGCCCTGCACTGGTGCGGGTGCTGGGGGACAGTGTGGGTGCTCACGTGCAGTCACCTCTCTCCTCCCCATACACATCATGGCAGGAGGTCTCTGGCAGGGTGTTGTGGGATTCTTAAGCCTTTCTGTGAGATTAAGACTACTGCAGCTGTAAAATATGAATTGCTCTTGGCTCTTTAACTGCCTGTAGAAAAGTCAAGTACTTGAAGTTTTGAATTTTAGTCCACGTTTTAAAATGGGAGAAAAATGCTTTGCATATGAATTTTTTTTCAGCAGTATGATGATCACTGTGCCTGACTCATCCTTCATATGGGTGAACTAAGCAAACTAAAAGAAATATCCCTCAGGGCAGGGATTTCTATCTCATTTTTTTTTAAGGGAAGAAACTTCCAAGGACTGGCCCCGAAGACTACCAGGTTGTTGGATGACCCCGCTAGGTGTTTGCAATCTGCAATTCTAAAGTCAGCAGACCAGGCATATCTAGCTGGATGCCTTTGCAACAGCTCTCAAGGCAAGAGAACAAGTGTTCCTCTAGTACGAAGTTGATGCACAGGTCCTGCAGTGCTGGATCTTCTCTGGTTGACTACCATAGAAGTGTCTGTAACGTGAAGGCTGGAAAAGCGTCGGGCTGTTGTGTCACTGTGTAAGGGACGGCATATAACCCAGGGCTGCACTACAGAGGCAGCCAGAGCTTTGTGGAGCCTCATGGGAACATGAGGTGAGTAATCACAGCTGCAATTCATTTCAAAGAGGCAAGTGAGCTCCCTGGAGAAAGCTGGGACACTTCTGCTGAGAGGGCGCTTTTTGGGAGGGTGGGGAAAAGGCTATTTTTTCTGCTCAGGTGGAAGAATTAAGTGGGAAAGCCTTGCACGTTCCTCGAAGGGTGGGCATTTTCATCACAATTGTAGAGTGACTTCCCTGGGATATAAAGTCAGTCAGTATTAAAGCCAGGAACTGACCGAACAGACCTCTCAGCTCATGGCTTCAGTGCTGTGCTGCAGCCACGAGACTGTTCTTGCTCTGTTTCTGCTGACCCTTCACTATGTGCTTTTCTCTGTTAGAGCTGAAAAGCTGCTTGGCAGCTGAGACTTTACCCTTCCTCTCACCCCCTACAGCAGTAGCTGCACAGAGGCGCGAGGGTCTGACTCCGGCTCCCGTGGTGCTCCAAGCTCCCGGGGTACCAGCAGAGGCGGCGGCAGCCCCGTGCTCTGGGAGGGGCGCTGCCAGCGACCTGCCGTTGGGGAAATCGAGTCAAAGTGATTAAAACAGCCAAGACTCTCTAAAGAGAAAAGATGCGTAAATATTTATTACGACTCGGAGTACCGGCGCGGTGCGGTGGCCGAAGCTCAGGTGCCGGAGGGGAACGGACCCGACCGGGACGGCGGCTCCACCGACCGCCCTCCTCTCCCGCCCCAGCCCCGCTCCTCCCGGATGTCGCCCCCCGCGCGCCGCCGGGACGGAAGTGGGCGCGCGCGGGGGGCCGCGCGGGGCGGCGCATGCGCGGGAGGCGCCGTGCGGCCGCGCCCCGCCCCCGCCGCGGTGGGGGTCTGGCGCGCGCTGCGTGCGCGCGGCGCGAGGCCCGGCCCGGGCGGCGGGGGCAGCGCGCGGGGCGGGGGCAGCGCGCGGCGGGGGAGCGCGCGGGGCGGGCAGGGGGCCGGGGGCGGGCGGACCGACCGACCGACGGACAGACCGACCGGGTGAGAGGATGTGAAGATGGCGGAGCTACAGATGCTGCTGGAGGAGGAGATCCCGGGGGGGCGCCGGGCCCTGTTCGACAGCTACACGAACCTGGAGCGGGTGGCCGAGTACTGCGAGACCAACTACATCCAGGTGCGCGCGCGCCCCGCCGCTCCCGCGGGAGCCGCTCCGGGAGCCCCTCCCGAGCCCCCTCCCGGGGCTGCTCCGGCCCCGCGGCGGCGGCAGGGCGGCAGCTCCGGCTGCTGCAGCCTGGGGAGGGGGAGGAAGGCTGGTTCACCTCCGGCGTGAGCTGCCCCGGCGTGACGAGGCGTTTGAATGTGTGATTGATTCCTAAACTGAATGCCTTCCACTTTTTGGGAGTGAATGTTCGTTCCAGATTGTGCCTCTGTCGCTCCTTTTCGTTCGCTTCCCCACGTTCCGCGCTCCTTTGCTGCCGGCGCTGTGGTGATAAACCGAGGGATAGCTGACTCCTGCAAATACGGTTAATTTAGGGCACAATGACATATGTTTTAATAGGGATGTGCCTGTCGGTTCGTATTTCCCTTCCCGAGCAGGGCTGTGGAATTCCATGGGAAGGGCAACTACCAAGCGGTAGGTGCAGGATGAAACCATGATGTAGTAAGAGATGGTACAGAATTAGGGAGAAAGAGATCGAGTACAAGTTGCTACCGCAGTGTGTGGTTTTTGCGGTGGCTGCTCTGAAACCAGGTTGGTGTTAGGACTTTGCTTTTTTCCTTTCTCTTTTTAGTGGAAAGAAAAGCAAAATATTGGCAATTTGCTTTGGTAGTGGTGGTAGGGCCAAATGAAAGACTTTGTCCTCAAACAAACACAAAAAGACACCTTAAGATGGGTCTGAGTGTGCAGGAGAGAAAGGCAGAGGGGGCGATGTGGATTTGTGGTGTCAATGTTGAGAGAATTACAGAGGGTCCCAGTATTATTTTTGCATTCAGTACTCGAAGTGGAGAGTTCTTATGGGTTTCCAGAGGGCAGCGAGGGATGAGGTCTGTGATGACACTATTCTGTCAGTGAAAATGGGGGAGACTGTTTAACCAGTGGCAGAGAATACTTAAAATGTCCCTATAAAAAAGCTCTCACTGTTTCTTTTGAATTGCTGAATGACCGGCTGTCCTTTAGAGAGAAGACTTTGCACATTTTGGGTCATTTACAAAACATGTCAATTACAGTGAAATTATATAGATGTATTTTATTATGTAATAACTTTTCCTATGTTGAATTAGTGTGACTTAGGTTTTTTGAGACATATGTTGAAATATTTTCTTACAGTTATAACCTGAAATACATGTGTTTGAATTTATGCTTTTTTTAAAACTGTGTAACTGATTTTTCTGGAATAAGGGAGAGGCGTATTGGAAGGCAGAACCGGAGAGGAAGAAAAGCATGTAGTTTGGATTTTTTTTTTCCTTTGACCTTTTTTTGTGTTCTTTGTATACACCAAAGTTCAAAATCTCTGTTGAACAGCTCCACTTTTAATGTTTTAATGAAACTGCAGAAGAGGACTCCATGCTGTTTTGTACAAATAGAGAATGAAAAAAATGGTTACTGCCCCAGACAGCACACAGTCCATAAGGACAGTATGAAATGATAGGAGACAGATGCAGACAGATGGTGAATGAAGGAAAAGAATGAGGCACTCTTGGTCAGCCTGATGGATTCTGACCACCACACAGCAATATCCCAACTGTTGGCAATTTATCCAAGGATCATGACAAACAGAGCTTTAAGGGGGAAGTGAGAATTAAGGAATGAAATTGTGTTGTGAACGTTGACCGTGAGGTGCAGTGTGGGTCACAGCATGAACATGTTTAAATTTTTAAACAAGTGAGGAATGGAGAACATAGCCAGGCGATAAGCTCTGGCCTTTGGAGTTCTCTGGGACATCGTAAAGTGGGTTTATTGTAGAGAAGAGGTCCAGTGTGAGGGGATTCTGGATTTAGTGATGTGAGTGTCCCAGTAACAAATCTGTCAGCAAGCCCACCCTACCTTCACGGTGCCAGAGCTACGTAAACGCTGTACCAGATCTGTATACAAAGCTGATTTTTTCTTCTCTACAAGGGAAGAATAGATAAATGGATATAGCTGTTGATTAGTTGGATACTTGTGATTTTGCTTCTAATGACATTTATTATGCTGAAGTTAATATGTCCAATTAATGACAAATGACGTTCAGAGCAGTAGTCTTGAATTTTGTGGGGAAGATGGGTTTGTGACTGCTCTGAAATATGTGGAAGAATAATTGTCCAGAAAGTCAGGTAGCGAAGACGAACTAATTCTTCTGTAGTCCTGTAGTGTTTCGTTGTTGACAGAAGATTTTGTTGTGGATATATTTGAGATCTCCTAGGGGAGGCTCAGGACGTGACTGAGAGCTGAAGTTGATCGGCAGGGTGGCAGGCACTGTGGCAGGAGGGACATTGAAGACCTGTATTTGTCAGTAGACAAGCCGCTGCCTTTCTGTGCCATTTACTGCTCTGGGGTTTTATTGTCAAGTACAAAAACTGTTGCAAAAGTCATTGGAAGCATAGGTCAGTGTAACAGAGAATTTGAAGTTCAGTGCTAAGGTGAATGTGTTTTTTCTCTTCACCTCCGCCCAGCAACATCCTTGCAGCTTCAAAATAATGGAACGTGTAATCTCATGCATATGAAAATTGCTAGTTCATAGTAGTACAGTTGTGGCAATTGCAACTCATTTGACTTCTGCTTATGAATTAAAAAATCTGTTCTTAAAAATTTTGTCAGTGTTTATCTAAATTATGATTGATACTTAGCTCAATTACTTTAGCAACAGGGAATGTTACATAAATTGTTATCCTTCCCTTGAGCCTGTGATACAGTAGTATATCAGAACACATCAGCTTAAAATTGTATGGAGATACATAGACCTGCAGCAATAAAAGACAAAAGGCTCCTGTTTGGGCAAAAAAAGTTTTTTCATTTGTTTTTCTTCACCAATGGTTCTTTGTTTTAAAATTTCCCACTGGTCAAGTCATTCTCCCAGCCCTCCAGCCAATGAGTTACCGAGTAAGGTGATGTATTTTTCAAGAGACACTACTCAAATAAGAAAATAAATCAATAGAATAAAAAAATAAAGTATGATATCAACTTACATATTACAGCAATTAATTTAATTATTTTCTGTGATTGTGGTGATAAAAATAATTCAGTTTGAAGCATAAATGGCTCACTTTCATCTGTGTGTCTTATTACAGAAATGAGATAACTTTTCTTGCTGAGAAGGCCTTATTTCTAATAGCTTGGAGAAATCCTACAGTTATTTCTATGTCATACTGCTTCTTAGAGAGAAAGGGAAGGTGCACATTTTTATTTAGGAGGATTTTGTGTGGTATCTGACACAAAGTCAATCACACGTTAAATTTTATACTGTCTATTCAATGCTTTAAGTACTAGTGCTGTCCTCTGTTACCAAGTTCAGTCTCAGTGTAAACTGTGCAACAGAGTAATTCTGTAGAATTTGATTATCTGATGTACTTAATATTTGCAGTCTACATTGATTTATGTAGGCTTTCATAGAAAACAGAGAATAGTTATACTGGACAGTGTGCTGTGTTTACAAAATTTTCATATTCCTGCTTCATTTTGTTCAGGGGTATTGTAAAGAAAATTTCTACTTACGGTAGTATAAGTAACAAGACCATACAATTATGTGATTTGCACGTTATGTTACTGCTATACTAATATAAATTCCAACACTGTCTTGACCCATTCAGTTTCTTTGAGCTTGTCCTGTATAAGTCTACTCTGGAATAATCTTTTGTTTGTTTCTCATTATCATCACTCTTTTAAAAAACAAGCTTTTCATTTTGTGCGTTGCATGGAGCTTTCTAGAGTAACTGAATGCTTGTGTCTGTAACTCTTTGTTGAAAGAGGCAGAAAAAATTAACAGGTGGAGGCATTTCAGCCAGTAAGCATCTAGCAAGAGCAAATTTGAGGTGTGGGGAGGTCCCGCCACCACAGTTAGCTTGCAGAACTGAGCAAAATGCCAAGCCTCTGTGCCCTGCCCAGCTTTCAGAAGGAACATAGCAATTTTGTGTGCTGTGTTGTCCAGATTCTTCTAAAAGGGTCTGTATTTCTTAGTTTTTCAAGATTATTATGCTTTATTTGTCAGCTCTAGAGACTGAAAAGGAAGAGGGTGCTTCTAATTTTCCTCTCTTCACAGTCTTCAGGTTGCCTTGACTGTATTGCATTTTATATACAGAAAACATTCTTTTGGTGTCTGTGAGGGGAAGGGTAGGAAGGTGATTTTTATTTCTGTTCTTAATAATAAGAATAATCCATTTACTTATTACTAGAAATGACCTGCTTTCATTCCTGCAGATAGCTTTATTTAAATAGACATAAAGGTGAAAACTACCTTTTCTCAGTAATTTTCCTGGAGCCCGCAGATCAATGAGTTTCATAGTTGTTTTCCACATACCTGTTGATTTTACTTAGATCTTATAAGCAAAGCCAAGTAGCTGTAGATTTGAAAGCATCTTCCAGTAGGTTGGACAAGAGAATGAGGCATCTATTAGCATATTAGTTTTAAATTACAAGAATGGTGATCCTTTACAAATGGCAATTTAGTGGTTACAGCTTTAGTAATGGGAAATTTCTGTGGAGTTGCTTGTAATGACTGGTACCAGTATATAACTTGTGTAAGTATATAGGGGATTGCAGGTATTATGGTTTATAAACAAGTTTAAGAATGATCTCTGTTCTCTTTACTGAGAATATGTATCACCTAACAAAGGCAACTGAGTTAGATTTGTAAAATTTATTTAATTACCCGAAGTGTGAGTATCGGAGGAAAGTTGTTTTCACCTTTTCTGTTCCTTAAACTTGTTTATTTTATAATCCGGCTTTAGTGAAGGGTTGATTAATCTTAGCAGTGATGGAACACTTGTTCTGCAGACATGAAAGTGGGTATTGATTAGCTCCAGTGGATATTAGTCCAAAAGTTCAGAAAGATGCTGACAAGATGAAACTCTTTAAAAAAAAAACTGTCAAGCCAGTAAAACAGTGGTAATGAATGCATGGACAATATGCTGTAGTATCTTACTCCTAAGTGCAAGGAATTAATACATGGATATGTCTGGTCCATCAGGCTATGGTAGGAC